GTTGCAAGTTGTAATTTTGTTTATTCATAAATACGTGTACAACGGACAACCATGTTTCAAGCTGAAAACTGATAGAAAATCAGGTACATAATAAATGAAAAACGTTGCTAAGGTTATTTTTGAAACAAATTGTGTAAAACTGCAGTTTTTTAAACGACCTATTAACACACTTACTTGTTTTTGAAAAAGACATCGATTAGTATCAGACGCTGTTTTATATCTTCTGTAAAGCTGATACGTATTTAATGCTAGATTGGACACAAATCACGAATCCGTTCCACGAGTAGGTACATTCTATTTTTCGACAATTTCCAATGTAATTAGACCGATTATTTTTACAGAAGTTCACAATGAATGGATTCACTGACTTTTTACCTTTCTAAACTGTGTTTTATTGTTATTCATTTTAAACCAAATAAATATTAAAAAGCCAGTACAGTGTGGGGTCGAGGCATAGCGGGGACGGGGTGGTCACAGCTCTACAGGAATTATAATAACTTAAAGTGATTAAATCACTTTTAAATAAACGCTTTGATGCGAATTTGTAAATAGTAGGTACAAATCGGTACATTCCAACCTAAGCACAGTAAGTAAGTATTATTCGTTACTAAGTCATAGTAGTAGTAGTAATTAGTAATAGTAGTAAACAGTAGTAGTAATAGTAGTAGTGAGTAAGTAAGGGAGGTTCAGATGTCCAGTGTTCACAGATAAAATGTCGATAAAAGCATTATACCTAATGACAATTATGTGCTTACAAATTAATTTTTAGTATTTTGGTTGGATACGATTAGGGTTGACCGTCTGTTTATAAAAATGTATTGCTGTAGTTAGGTACCCATAAATCGTAACATAATGAAAATGTATTTTTCATTACCTGTTGACTGTTTACTCACTCACACATAGCAGCCTGAAAATTGACTACGGTCAAACTGAAATTTTCCCCTTTTTTGGGGTTTCCTCCTAATAAAAAATAAGTCAGACTATAGATTTTTGAGAAAATTGTATATGTTATAGTTCCGTGCGGTCTAATTTTCAGATCTAAATCCCTAAAACTGCTTGTACATTTTACTTAAATTAAATCCATTTTACAATATAAATAAAATAATTGACAAACCATAAAACATAAACTACATTTATTTATAATGTGAAAGCGAGTTCGAAGAAAATTAATACGTAGTAGAAAATAATTTAAGTAGACGTTTCGCAGTAGTTCGGAAAGCAACAACTGTCAACTGAAAAATAATCTGTGGTGGATCGTTCGGGCATCGAATTTGCACGTCACCAAAACAAAACAAAAAAAAGATATAATTGATAAAAAAAGTCTGCTCTAAGATGATTTGCCTGTTATTATACGCCCGTTAATATGCCCACCGTGTAATTAAATTAGTCAGTCACGGACTCGTGAGTAGCGGATTTATTACTTTTTTTTGCATGCGCGCGTTGAACCATTTTCATCTTAACGCCTACTATTATAAAGTACAGCAGCGTTGTACTAAAATTTCCATATATAATAATATTATTAATATATGTAACTTATTTTTAAACTCTTCTTAATCGTGATTCGTGAAGAAATGTTGAACCATGGCCAATATTGTATAGCATTTGTAAGAAGAAACAAACAAGTACAATATCATATTAATAAATGATCATGTAAAAAGCCAGCGTAAAAAAAATAGCATTATTAACGTTATTCCGTTGTTTAAATGTTATACCATTGAATATGTTGTGTATTGAATTATGTTTTTTCACATAATGATATAAAACGCCATCACAAGGAACTTAATAGGTCAAAGTGTATTTCCGCCTTTTTAGGGGTTTTTTTTTTTTTGAAGTTTGACTACAGATTTTGAAAAAATTATATAGTTCCACTCTTTGGTCTAATTTACAGCCATCAGTTCAAAACACTACGCCTATGTACATTAAATAACGAAAGTTATAAAGTAATTAGGTGATACCGTAGATTAAACAAAATATATGTTAAGAAGTTTTGATTTCTTATCGTAAAGAAGCATTAGTAAACTTAACTTTTTTTTAAATAATCGAATTAGTTCCAAATTTGCATGGAGCTTTCATTAGGTATAGTACTAACTGCCAATAAACCAAAAATGTATCAAAAACCTTTTCTCCTGAAAGAGATGGAAACTGTTTTTTTATTTAATGTATTTAGGTGTAGTTTTTGGAATTGAGGTTTGATATTTAGCCTGAAAGTTCATAATACAAAAATACGTTTTTTAAGCACATTACGTCTTTACAGTTATATGAATCGATATTAAATATTTCTGCCATCTACAGATTCGCATTGAAACGCTTTTTTTAACGTTATTTTATCACACGAATATTTTCCTACAGTCCTGGGACTATACAGACCTCACTATGCTCCGTTCCCAATGTATTTTTTTTTATTTTCATTCCATGTTATACGTTTAATTACACCTACGTTTAGCTTATCGACTTTATTATTTTCACCAAGTATTTATATTTGTTCTATAAGCTACCTTGTATTATATAATTTACTTATTTAATTTTATCGTTAATGCTAAAATAGGGAAAGTATTAACTATTATTAATAATGGAAAGGAGAAGGGAAACAATTGCCATTCGGTTATTGATTATCTAGGTATTTTGATAGACTAGGGAGGTAAGTTTTTGGAACTACGGCAATTATTAGAAATTAATATTTACGTATACAATATTGCATATACAATAAAAGCCATTCCTAGACGCCCTTGATTGTGATTTTACAAACATTATACTTACTTGGTCGAACGTATCTTATTTCTTTTTGAATGTATATAAAATAATTTATAATCAGTATCAACTTACATATAAAGTGTGTATAAAAGTTTAATTTTATTATATTTACAATTTACAGAAAAGTATCTGAACCTATTTTTGCAATACTAAATATTTTGGGTGATTATTTCCATACTATTTTTTCTCATCTTATAATTTCTCAATCCTCTAAACCTTTTAGAGTCTTAACTTTTCATTGTTTTTTTTATTAATTAAATTATACATTTTTTTTATTTGCTGCAAATGCTTTGTTTTATAAGGTTTTTATTTCAACTCTTATTCAAAAATAATAATAATGTACGGTTACTACTAATTTAGTTTTGTTTTGAAGTCACATTTTGAAGATTGTTCCTTTTTTAATTAACCACTTATTTAATTGGGATAAGTCTAGAATTATTTTAATTTAATTTGTGAAGCACTTTTTTTTAATATCAAGTAAAAAATACTGATAATATAATCTAATCTGGGTGTAAGAATGACCCAGTAAATATATTTTTAAGAACTGTTTAATTTTTTCATCATTCTAAATATTTTAACGTTTATTAATCAAAATAATACATAAATTGGGCTACTATATAGGCGCGTACATTATACTTTACTTATAATATAGCAAATAATCTCTAGAATTATATATTAGGTATTTGATTAGTATTAATAAAATTACTTGTTTTCATGTACTATTAATATCAAGTCACTTATGATTTTTTTTAAAGTTTAATATAAGTGTTAATGTTATTCTTAGAAAAATATATTGTGCCAACATTCAACATTTTATAATTGATTACATTCAACGGTGAACATTTTTGTTATAAATGGTTCAACTTCAAATTACATATTATAGTTTCCTGGTGTTTAAGTTTTTTTAAAAGATATCTTAATGTTAAATAAGCAAAACTAATCGTCTTATTTAAATAGTCCTTTTAGAACACTAGACGTAGTTATTATTATTGTTAATCAAGATTGTACTATTCCAAGCCACTTAATGTGAAGAAAACAATTTTTAACAATATTTTTTTTTAAATGCAGATTGTAAAAACTATTATTTGTTACCATTTAAAAATTGTATATCAAGGTTTACATATATTTTACATTTAACCAAACTAATAATTAAGTATTAACAGTTTTAGGTAATGTAAGAAAACTACCAAATTCAAAAATCATTGCAAAACAGCCATTTAGAAACAGAATATTAGGTCTTAGATTTAATAATAACGCCTCACAAACAAGATCTACGCAATTTTATTGCATACGTGTATCACGGCGTAACAACTATCATTACCAGGAAAACTTATTTATTTTTAATTATAGCATGCTTGGATGGATAATACATACTGATATAATTTTTAATTTTTTAGTTTTAGGTAAAATTAGTGATTTTGTTTAGTGTACTTAAATAAATAACTGAAACTTTAGGGGAAAAAAATATTTTTAAATTTTTTGAATAATTTGTTTCTTTGGACTTAATTAAAAACGTTAATTTTTATTATTCATAATAAACTGTGTTGAATATTATTATAAGTACCTTTAAATATTTGTGCTAAAAATAATTTATATTTAAACGAATCATTTTCGTCGAACTCATGTACAAAAAAAATATAGTAGATATGTAACCTCAAAGGATAACCCTTTAGATCAAACTACAAGGTTTTTTACGATATTTATTATACAATATCCATCAAATGAGTTACTTACAAATAATAAAAAATAAAATAATAATAATACACATATTATAATTAAAAGTAAAATAATGAATAATTTAAATAAAAATATGCAAAAGTTCTAACTTCATATAATATAGAGCACACAAGCGCAAAAAATATTTTTAAAAAAAAGTTTAAACATTGCATTTTAATTTAATTGTTGACAACAATGCAAATAAAAGCATACAACAAGAAGTATAAACAACAATATATCTTATATAAAATGCCGATGTTCTTAATTTTTATGTAACAGTGCCGAAAGTTCAGGAGATATTATAGTATACTTATAAATTTTAATTTACGCATGTATGTAGATTAAATGCTATATCTTATCATTTATATAATAAAAATGTATAGCTTATAGTGTATGTATAGCAGTTCTAAATCAAAATTAAATGCACACACACAAACACAAAAGAAATTAAACAAACCGTTAAAAAAGCTAAACATAAGACATAGTGTATCTGTAGATGATTAGGTACTATTCAAGTAAATTTGATAAAGTAATGCGCTTATAGATCAGATTTAATGACAAATGTGTTTTTATATTGTAAAATCTTGGTTTTTAATTTTTTTGTAGAGACTTAGAATGTTTTTATTAAATAATAAGCACCGATAAGTAACGGTAGGATTCCAGCAACAATGGCATCAGACCCGCTAGCATCGCTCGTACATTCTTTAGGTTTTGGCTCCGGGATATTTTCACATATAGCTGACTTCAAGTATCCAGTGGTTGCATTTGTCTTTTTCTCGAAAGGAGTCTGAAAAAATATACATAAATAATGTGTATTTTGAATTTGTTTATAAATTATGATTATAACATCTAATATATTAAACGTTTGCAACAAGTAAAAAAAAAACCTTACGTTGTTAATGAGAATCGTTGGTACATATTCCACCTTAGCCGCTAGAGACTTTTCATTATAAGTTTTCAAATCTTGAAAAACTTCAACCTTCAGACAATTTTCAATAGCGGTAATGATCTCAGCTTGTAGTTTTATTTGTGTTGCGCACTAAAATTGTTTTTAAAAAACAATGAGATAATCAGTATGAATATAACATTAATTACAATTTATTAAAAGCTCCGTTTAAAACACATAAATTTAAATTTCTGATTAAAACAAGTTTTTTATGTTATCCTTATTATGAAAACAATTTTTTTATGTTGAAAGAATTTTTAAATTAAAAAAGTCAGAATAAAATTAAAGTCTTAAAGACGAATGTAAGTTGCATCCAAAAAAGTAGTATTAATATCATTAAAATTAAGATTGACAAACGACAACAGAATGTGAACTGTAAATTAATTTTTATATATACAGGGTGATTGGTTAACTATGGACCAGTCAATAACTTAGAAGATATTAGACATTTTTTAATTATTTTTTTGTTATAATTTTATAATTATTAGTTGGGACAAATTTAATATATTTTTTAAAATTAGAACTCCGTCCCTTTATGTTAAAATCTTATAAACTCGAGTTTTATATTTTATTATCTTTTTGAATTAGGAATAATTTGCTAAATATTTTGACTGGTCAATAACCAGTTTTGGATGATTAGTTTGACATAGTAACATATAAGGGATGGGGTTATATTTTTCAAAAATATATTAAATTTGTCCCAACTAATAATTATAAAATTATAAAAAAAAATAATTAAAAAATGTCTAATATCTTCTAAGATATTGATTGGTCCATAGTTAACCAATCATCCGGTATATATTTGTTTTAACAAAATAGTTTAGGTGTAGGTTAAAATGGTCATTGGGCAATATTTGGGTAGTCAATACAATTTATACCAAAGGAAGGAAATTAATTAAACTCAAATTCCAATTAAAACCAAAACTATGCATAATTATTGTTATGTATAATACTTAGTTACCTTTGAAGTAGGTGGCAATTTTTCTTCATTTGATGGTTTCATAGTACAGTTAAGGAAGTTAAGCTTATCAGGAATCGAAGTAATATGTTTGATAGCACAAGCGTGTACTTTGTCTATTTCACATTCTAAAACACCACGTGGACAAGTTAAGTTGTATTCATTTGTTGTTGCATTAATATGAGTGATCTGTAATAAAGTCACAGGTAATTAATAACATAACAGTAGGATGAATATAATTTACAAAATATCAACTTACTGTGCTTTTTGCAAAAGGTATTAGTTCAATGTTCAAATGCTGAGATAAAGTTTTGTACGTTGGAATAAGTTCTTCTTCAATGAATTTTTGGCTTTTTTGACATTGCCCTTCATAGTAAAGTTCAACATGCACAGGTGTTTTCGGAGTCTAAAAGATAAACATATATTTATAAGTATAAATTTAATTTGTATTTAAGACAGAAAATAAACTTATAAATTGTTTATAAATATATGTTTTTAATATCATGTAGGTTTTTTGTAATCGTTAAACCTAAAAAGCAAAAGTAAATTGGATAGTTTAGTATACAAAAGAAATTAAACAAATTTTTTAACAACTATATTTGCATTTAAACTATACTTTCGCAAAAAAATTAATGTTCTGAGAAGGAATTAATTTAAATTATAGTCATTCGAACGTACATCACAAAAATGAGCAAACTATTTAATTTTGTTGTTTTTCAAACCAGAAAATCTTTTTAATTATTTATTTAAGAAATAGGTGATTCTATCGGTAATAATATTTTTTATTATAGTTTTAGATAATACATGTCAATATATTTGACGTATAGAAAAGCAATATGATTATCATTTATAATTTACAAGTACATGTATTGTGTAAAAAACAAATTATTTTACTGATAAAGAAATCAAGTGTAGTGCTGCAGGCAATACTTTGATAATACAACACAGGATGTAGAAGCTCCTACCAGACCACAACCTTCGATTTTTGTTTTAATTATTTTTTTTATACATACAACCCTGAACCTAAAATAATATTTCTCTTCGATAAAATCATAATACTCTGTATCAATTTTGTATTAGTATCATATAACTTATACCTGATAGGGCCACGAATAACACAATTTACACCTAAACGTAATTTTTTTTTTTTGGTTTTCTGAAAGGGCCCCAAACTCTGTGTGCCTAAGGGTATAGCCTAAGACGGCTCTGTATATAAATAGTGATAATATTGTGATTATAATGAAAAGACTAATTTTAAAAAAATGTTAAGTTTTGTCATATTACTGTTAAAATCATGGTTTGAGTATTAATAGTAATAATTATTTAAATCCCCTTCTGTATTCCCAATACAATTATTTTCTTTATTACATATTTTCTATTGTTCCATATCACAAAGAAAAAAGTTCAATGCACCGAACTATTCAAATATTTGAGTCGAGTTAATACATATAAAAAAAACTACACAATATTCATGAACATCTTTTTTTATATACATACATAGAGATGCAAGCTAAACAAAATAGGTAACATTTTTGTATAAGTCGAGAAATATATTACATAATTATCAGTAATTATAATAACTATCCGTTCAATTTAGTACAATTTTTTTAACTATAGAATACGAACTCTTTAAAATAGGTATTATGTAAATTGTATTTTTTAATAAATTGTTTTTTAAAATTATGATAATTTAATTAATATTTTTAACTATTTTTCTCTCTATGCTATGTCATTTTAAAATACATCTTGTATAATTAATATTTACATAAACAAAAAATTGTACGATACATTCATCATAATTTTTTTTTTTAATATCATTAGACTAAGTCGTAGCACTTATTGTTAAAGATAAAAACTTAACAAATAGTTTAGAATGATTGCTAGACTATTTTGCTGTAAACAAATTTGATGGTTATAATATAAACTACGAGAGTTTGTAGTAATCAAATTTGTATGCCTTACAAACGGTTATTACTTATCATCCCTCCATTCATTAAGTATAAAGATAAATGTATACTCAATATATAGATTAGTTCATGTCTCAAATATTTTTTATGACGTATCCTAAGTATTATACCGAATTTATATTCTAACCAGATTTTAACTGTCTGAAGTGCAATACGTGTACTGTGCATTGTATACAACACTGCAAAAATAACTAATTTAAAAACGGATTTTAAGGGGTGAGATTATGAAGAGTGGTATGATAATTAACTATTAGGGGAGGTCGGCCGCGGACGGTGGAGCATTCGGGTTTGCGAATCCGTTGCACTCGACAGCACTATAATACTGAGTTTGTTCACCGGTATGGTATGCCGCCGGTAAAGCGCAGGGCGTAGAAATTCAATAGGGTTCAGTGTAGGAGGGGTAGCGATGCACGGACGACGAGAGCGTCTGGTCCCTAACAGAATAGCAGGGGAGGGTTCGGACAAAGTTTTTTCAACGTATAACCCCCGACTGCACTCTCACACACCCCGTAGGCCTGTCTGCAAAAACGCAGACTGGCTGGGGGGTGAGCGGATATCGAGAGGGGAGACACATAGGGGCCCGCACTTCGTCTGGACCGTTTTATTATTTGTAACCGCGTGCAGAAAACCTTTCCCGCCGCCGTCACCCCTCTCCTACCATGCTTGCAACTCCCCCCCCCCTTTAAAAACGGTGACGGTTGCATCCAGTTGAACGCACGTTAAAGGAAAAAGCGAGCCCGCGCCATGATCCTTTGTGCAACCAACCCGTCTAGATTTCGAAACACGAGATCGTTCACGGCTACAAAAAATGTAGGTATAAATTCAGCGAGGGGTTTTTTTTTGTTGATGAAGGTACAAGACATTAATTAATACATGCATCAACATCAAGATTAGTTTATACGTCGATACATATATTAAGTATCTAAATTATATTGATAATTTGTTAACATATGCATGTATGAAGTATCGATTCTATTATTACTATTACTTACTATATAATTTGTACTTTGAAATGTACCAATAAATAGTTGATTCATGATACGTTTTTATGTACCTAATAATCAAACTCCAAAGTATAATTTATACTTGGAACCGTTGATACATAAAAAATATAATTTTTAATGTTTCGAAAGAATTGTAGATATCACACAAAAATATAAATAATTGCAACACTTTGAAGCCAAAATTTACACGTAGTTTGTACTGTTAGTCATATAATGTAATAACATGGAAAATTAACTAATTTAGTCAATAAGTCGTACTAAACATTTGAATAGAGGGATGAAGGTTATAATTAGTAAATAACTAATAATAATCAAGGCCTTTGCCTATTATACTAGCAAGCGCATAAGGTCACATGAAGTATGTCCAAATAAAAGAAATATCCGGTTTATTAAGTTGATTAAAAAATTAAATTTTGATTATTATATTAAAAAATGTATGACTTTATTTGCAGTATGTCATATCAAATTTTCTATTGGATTAAGTCAAATAGCATGAGGTGAGTATGTTGGTGTTACTGGCATAGTGCATACCTACAATGACATAATCTTTATAGATTATCTTAAATGCTTAAAAAATTGTTAATACAAGATATAATTACTTAACATTACTTACTGTAAATTTAAAAATTCATAGTCGATATTTTTATGTATGGTATATTTTATAAAATGTAATCCCCTGTAGCACTATCATTTATCATAAGCCTACATTGCGTGAGTTAAAAACATTTTTAGAATTCTAATATATCGATGTCACGTGGAACCAGAACAGTAAACACGTTAATTTTGCACAGGCATTTGCTTGGTAAATAATTAATGTCATTGACTCATTGTTATATGTATCAAACTTGTGCACAAGTGTATAGTATACTGTATATAAGCAATGGCACCCATAAACTGGTGTAATATAATAACCTATCGTGCGAGGTATAACATTACATTGGAACAATAATTGCTCACAAACTCAACGTTGTAAAAAAAAAAATAATTCATAAATATATTATTATAATATTCATAAGTCTCTTTTTCATATTTTAATTTATACGATTAAATTAATGACATAAGTACGATAACAGCTATTCATTTTTATACATTCATACAGATTATTATTGTTATTATTACACTACTTCTAACGACTATCACGACTAGAAACATTCTCTTATAGTTTATACCAATACAAAACAAATTTAACCTTTTGTTTTACCATCAGATGAAACCATACAAATTATCACAATAAAAGTGGCTTGAACTGTATTATTATTATTATTTAAATTGTGTACCTAATATTGTGTACAACATATTTAGGATATTAAGTATGCTAAAAAAATGTGTAGGGTTGTTAAAATTAGTTTAAATGACCCCAATATTTGGAGATCCTGCTTGAGTTTAACATGTACTCTACCTGTGTTAACGGCCGTTGGTTATACTAAACAGATTATTTTTCTAGTGCCGTTTCAAAATGGACAACTATAAGATACTCTGCATTATAATTTATTATTTAAACGAACAGTGAATGTTTGAAAAACAAACCCGATAACAGCATATTATGGTATCAAAAAACCAATATAATATGTGACTTGATTTACTTCTGAGGTCTGACCCCATGTGATATCTTTTCAAACAGCACACGGCATCGAAGTACCTATTTACTGAACTCACCCACAATCCAGCCCAGCCCAGCCTAGCCTCTTATCTGAAATGTAATAACTACTGTGCGGGGCTTGTTGGCGTTTCCTTACCATTAATACACAAAAGTGACTATATATTATGCCAAACACAACGTGTGTATCATTATATAGGATAACCAGGTGTGATAAAATTGGGCGGAAACATATATTTAGAGGAATGTTTTAGATACCATTACTACACCACGATTTTCAAACTTGGCGTTACAGAGAACTATAAATGACAATAACGATACAGCCACAATACACGCACAGCACATAAGCAGTACTTACTGATTACTGCGTGAATGGCTCGTAACAAATTAGAACACATTTCAAATGTAAATCAACCAGGAATTATTGTAAGTTCACTGATTTGGGTCACGACCAAGTGTCAACTTGAGCATCCACCCGTGAAGCAGCGTGTGCACAATTTTCGTCTCTAGATTCTAACGTTACTAAATTATTATCCGTCCATTGTATGTGAACGTGCAAATTGCATTTAGATATAGACACTAAAGTGTCCTCGTCTAAAGGATCAGATTTCTTGAAAAGGTATTTCCATAACCCCGTGTTAAAAACAAAGGATTGGTACGGTGTGGGAAGTATGGAGATTTCGTAGCGCATGCTTCATTTATCACTGAGAAGGGGATTTCTGTCTTTTCAAATTTCTTCTATTCAAAAAATACAATAGGCCTTCTAAAACAAAATGAGTGAACTAAAAAAATACAAAACTACTACTAATATTTTAATTGTGTGAACTACAAAAAGCTA